ATAGGACATTTGCATATTCAATATTGAAGGATTTAAAGACAAACAAAAAATATCTTTGAGAGAAAAAATCTTCTTTAAAAAAACCCAAGACAGTTTTAGGTCCTTTCAAAAATGTTCTTTAAAAAATTCACGCCAATTTTAGTTGCTTTAAAAATATTCTTTAAAAATTCACGCCTATTTTAGTTGCCTTAAAAATATTCTTAAAAAATCCAGGCCTGTTTTAGGTTCTCTCAAAAATATTTTTTAAAAAATCCATGCCTGTTTTACTTTACTTACTTAGCTGGCTGAGGTTGTTTCATAAGCCGAGCTTAAAAAAGGTTTCCAAGCGCGTCGGTCTTGTGCGCATCTCCTCCAAATTGAAGGACCACGTTCCAAGATGTTGTATTCTACTTGGTCTTTCCATCTGATTCTTGGCCTTCCCCTTCTACGGGAACCATCAGTAGGCTCGCTTTAATATGCCTTTTGAGCTGGGGCATTCTCATTCAATCGCTCCACTTGGCCTAGCCATCGTAGTCGCTGGAGCTCAATACGTCTAACAATATCGATGTCGGCGAATAGCTGGTACAACTCATGGTTCATTCGATGGCGATATTCATCGTCAACGCAGATCGGCCCATACATCTTTCGGAAAATTTTTCTCTCTTTTGCTTCAGATTCATATAATAGCACGGGTAGTAACAGCGTCTTGTAGAGTGTGAGTTTGATCTGGCGGGAGGTGCCCTGCTTTTGAGTTGTTTGCACAGACCATAGTAGCATCGGTTGGCCATCACTATCCTTTTCCGAATTTCAAAACTGATGTCATTCGTTTTGTTTATGGCGGTACCAAGGTATATACAATCTTTGACTACCTCGAAGCTGTAGTTCTCAAGTTCCACAGTTGATTCGAGTCTACTGGACGTCTTGCGCGTTGATACCATCAGCTTGGTCTTCTCGCCGTTAAAATCTTTAACTACCTCGAAGCTGTAGTTCTCAAGTTCCACAGTTGGTTCGAGTCTACTGGACGTCTTGCGCGTTGATACCATCAGCTTGGTCTTCTCGCCGTTAACTGCCAGACCCACTTTGGCAGAGTCCTTCTCAATTTGTTCAAAGGTGGCTGTTACCACTCTCAATGTTCGACCCATTATGTCGATGTCGTCGGCGTAGGTGAGTAACATGTGTACAGAGTGCCATTTCCGTTCACTTTTGCCTCTCGTATGACCTTTTCCAGCAGGATCTTAACAAGGTCACACGACAAACTATTACCTTGTCTGAATCCTCATTTGGTATTAAAGGGCTCCGACTTCAGAATTTAACTGCAGATCTTATACCTGTTAAAGTTATCCTGCATAGCCGAATTAATTTTGCAGGAATGCCAAACGCAGACATGGCTTTAAACACCTCTGAACGGATAGACCTGTCGAATGCGGCTTTATAGTCGACGGATAGGTGATATGTGTCGATGTGTTTTTCGTGGGTTTTTTCCAGGATTTGGCGAAGAGTGAATATCTGGTCAATCTGGTGGATTTGCCAGATCTGAAGCCGCATTGGTATGGTCCAATAATGTCGTTGACCATTGGCTTCAATCGTTCACACACCACACTGGATAGTACTTTATATGCGATGGGAAGGAGACTTACTCCCCTATAGTTGGCACTTATCGTCTTGTCTCTTTTTTGTGCACGGGGCACAGGATGCTGAGGTTCCAATCATTTGGCATGCATTCTTCTAGCCAAATTTTAGTAATCAGCTGGTGCATGCTCCTGACCAGTCTTAAATAGTTCGGCTTGTAACCCATCGGCAGCTGCTGCTTTATTATTCTTCAGCCGATTGATTGATATTCTGACTTCTTCTTGGCTAGGTGGTATACACTCTGTACCGTCATCTATTATGGGTTCTGGGGTATCCTCTTCACCGCCACTATTTTATACCAGAAGCTTCTCAAAATGCTCCTTCCAGATCCTCAGCACACTGTCTGTATCTGTCACCAGGTTTCCTTCTTTATCTCTACAGGAGCATGTGCCTGCACCAAAGCCTTCGGTTTGACGTTTTACCCGTTGGTAGAGTTTTCGGACTTCATTCTGACTCCTGACTCCTTCAAAATGCTCCTTCCAGATCCTCAGCACACTGTCTGTATCTGTCACCAGGTTTCCTTCTTTATCTCTACAGGATGATGTGCCTGTACCAAAGCCTTCGGTTTGGTTTTTACCCGTTTGTAGAATTTTCGGACTTCATTCTGACTCCTGTAATTCTCGATTTGCTCATGCTCAGGTTTTTCTTGCTCTTTCTTCTTTTTTTTTGAAAATACGTTTCCTCCTCCCGATAGTTCTCCATCGCATTACGTGTTGCTACTGCCCGTAGGGTTGCCCTATACGCTGCGTTTTTCATATCAGTAGCATTACAACACTCCTGATCGTATCACGGATTTCTTGATGGTGGCCTTTGGTGCCAAAGTGTTGCTTTTGCTGCAGTTTGTAGGGAGTGGGCAATTCTCTGCCATTGTGCTTCTTTCTTATTATTATCGGGACAAGGGGTGTTTTCGTCAAGCAGTTGGGTAAGTTGATCGGAGTAGGCCTCGGCTACCTGTTGTGTTTGCAGCATTTCGACGTCAAACTTCCTTGTTGTGTTAGATCACACCTTTGCTGCTACATTAAGACGGGTGCGTACCTTGGCTGCCACAAGGTAATGGTCCGAATCGATATTCGCTCTCTGGATCGATCGGACGTCTAAAACATTGGATGGAAGCCTTCCGTCTATCACAACATGATCGATTAAATTTCTCCTTGTCCGATCGGGAGAAATCTAAATGACCTTGTGTATATCGAGATGCTTGGATCTGGTGCTGCTAACTACCATGTTTTTTGCTGTCGCGAAGTCAATCAACCACATGCCGTTGTCTGATGTTTCTTCGTGGAGGCTGATTTTCCGACGGTGGGGCCTTTCCCTTCCGATTTTTGCATAAAAATCTCCTAGCAGAATTTTAATGTCATGGCCAGGGCAACGATCATATGCTGTTTCTAGGCGCTCGTAAAATATGTCATTGGTCTGTTCATCTTTATCTTCGGTCGGGCGCAAATGAGACTGATGTAGAAGAACTTCGCTTTTATACGGATTATAGCAATTCGCTGATCTACTGTAGTGAATCTGGGACGAGGTATTTTATTATCCTTTTAACCATAAATCCGCCAAATTCAAATCAGCCAAATTCATGTCTCGTTTCATGGCAGCTATAATACAGGGCGTAATCGTCTGATTTACTTACGCCTGTCCCTTTCCATCGCATTTCCTGTAAGGCAATAATATCGGCTTTGAACTTCCTGAGTACATCCGCCAAAGCGAACACTGCGCCTGTTCTCAAAAATATTTTTTAAAAAATCCACGCCTATTTTAGGTCCCCTCAAAAATATTCTTTAAAAAATCCACGCCTGTTTTAGGTCCCCTCAAAAATATTCTTTAAAAAATCCAATCCTCCAAAAAATTGACATGCTTAGTTTTGTTTTGTTTGTTGTGTCCTTTTTCGTACATCATCAAAGCATTGTGTTTTTAATTTTTCTAATGATTTCCTCGAACATTTCCTCCATAATACTCAACCATTATTTGTTCTCTTTCTTTCTCCTTTTTCCAGGAACACCATTTTGCCTCCAGTTAAGAAACAGATTTTTAGTTGGCCAATGAAGTTGTCGGTTGTTGTTGTTGCCAGACAAGCTGTGAAAGACATGATAATGAGAGTATCGTTTATGATGCTGTCAGTGATGCTGATGACACTATCCATGATGATGTCGATGATGACGACAACAACAGTAGCTATTATTTATAGCAAACGGAAATAATTGCAAGAGTAGTTAGTTTAGCAAAATAGAAAAACAAAAATAAAAATATTTTAGTAGAAATATTGCAATTTAAAAAAAATAGAAGTAGATTCAAGGAACAACCGCCCAATAACTACCCAGACACAAGGAAGAAATAAAGAAAATCATAAGCAAAATTGCAGTCAATCTGTATCCACATTTAGAAAATCTACACACATATACAGAGAGAAGAAGGAGTAACAACAACAGCCATAAAAAATCAATCAACCAAAACCGAAAGGCAAACAAAATCAAATTTACTCCCCCCACTCCATAAACATCCGTACATATATAAACGAAGAGAAACAGTATCCGCCTGAATAACAACAGCAGCAATAAAGCCAACTCGAAGGACCTCCTCCTCCTCGTACACACATACACACACATTTAGCCATCAACTATTAACCGTACAACTAGCAAAACGTCTGTAAATAATGCATCTCCATTTCGAGCGCAACACGAATACAAAATGCGATTGCACAATTCTGTCGTTATCCTGGATGGGAAAAGTTCCCGATGATATACCAGAGGTAAGTTTTTGGTTTTAATAACAACTTTTTCGAACAACCAACCAAATGTTTGCTGTCAAGAGTAAAATTACTTGTTATTGTGCTGTTGTGGTATTTTTATTAACAATTTTGGGAGGTCTTGAAAATAAAAAAATGTGTGTTAGATTTTGAAAAAAACTTTTTGGAAGCAATTTAAAGCGGTAGCTTTAAAGCTAATAGGAGACAAATTTGCCTATCGGTTCTAGACCCCAATCTTTTTTGCACTAAATCAGTTTCAGACAAAGTCGTGTTACACCAAAAAATTTAATCAAAAATTTAAAATATTATTTAAAAAATCTACAAAAATATTATTCGCATGGTCCTTAAAAAAATCTACGCCTTATTTGTCTGAAGGTCCTACAAAAATGTTGTTTAGAAAAATCCACGCTTATAGTTCGGGTGGTCCTCCAAAATAAATACAAATAAAACATCAACGCTTATAGTTCGGAAGGTCCTTCAGTAGATATACCATTTGTCCTCAAAAATTCATCGCTTATTGGTCGGATGAGCCTCCAAAATATTATTTTTAAAAATCCACGCCTATTTGTCGGATGAGCCTCCAAAATATTATTTTTAAAAGTCCACGCCTATTTGTCGGATGAGCCTCCAAAATATTATTTTTAAAAATCCACGCCTATTTGTCGGATGAGCCTCCAAAATATTATTTTTAAAAATCCACGCCTATTTGTCGGATGAGCCTCCAAAATATTATTTTTAAAAATCCACGCCTATTTGTCGGATGAGCCTCCAAAATATTATTTTTAAAAAACCACGCCTATTTGTCGGATGAGCCTCCAAAATATTATTTTTAAAAATCCACGCCTATTTGTCGGATGAGCCTCCAAAATATTATTTTTAAAAATCCACGCCTATTTGTCGGATGAGCCTCCAAAATATTATTTTTAAAAATCCACGCCTATTTGTCGGATGAGCCTCCAAAATATTATTTTTTAAAAATCCACGCCTATTTGTCGGATGAGCCTCCAAAATATTATTTTTAAAAATCCACGCCTATTTGTCGGATGAGCCTCCAAAATATTATTTTTAAAAAACCACGCCTATTTGTCGGATGAGCCTCCAAAATATTATTTTTAAAAATCCACGCCTATTTGTCGGATGAGCCTCCAAAATATTATTGTTAAAAATCCACGCCTATTTGTCGGATGAGCCTCCAAAATATTATTTTTAAAAATCCACGCCTATTTGTCGCATGAGCCTCCAAAATATTATTTTTAAAAATCCACGCCTATTTGTCGGATGAGCCTCCAAAATATTATTTTTAAAAATCCACACCTATTTGTCGGATGAGCCTCCAAAATATTATTTTTAAAAATCCACGCCTATTTGTCGGATGAGCCTCCAAAATATTATTTTTAAAAATCCACGCCTATTTGTCGGATGAGCCTCCAAAATATTATTTTTAAAAATCCACGCCTATTTGTCGGATGAGCCTCCAAAATATTATTTTTTAAAAATCCACGCCTATTTGTCGGATGAGCCTCCAAAATATTATTTTTAAAAATCCACGGCTATTTGTCGGATGAGCCTCCAAAATATTATTTTTAAAAATCCACGCCTATTTGTCGGATGAGCCTCCAAAATATTATTTTTAAAAATCCACGCCTATTTGTCGGATGAGCCTCCAAAATATTATTTTTAAAAATCCACGCCTATTTGTCGGATGAGCCTCCAAAATATTATTTTTAAAAATCCACGCCTATTTGTCGGATGAGCCTCCAAAATATTATTTTTAAAAATCCACGCCTATTTGTCGGATGAGCCTCCAAAATATTATTTTTAAAAATCCACGCTTATAGGGTCTTCGCTTATTGGGCGGATGGAACTTCAAAATTTTATTTAAAAAAATGTAAGCTTATAGTTCGGTTGGTCCTCCAAAAATACAGTTTAGAAAAGTTAATGCTTATAGCTCCGATGACCCTCAAAGGTCTCACAACATGACCTAGCCAACGTAGTCGCTGCAGCTTACTATGTCTGAATATATCGTCGACCGAGAATAGATGATATAACAACGGCCCATAGATCTTTCGAGAATTTTTCTCTCAAACACTCCAAGAGCTGCCTCATCTGGTTGCGTAAGTACCCATGCTTCAGATCCATATAACAGCACGGTAGTATCAGTGTCTTATAAAGTGTGAGTTTGGCCTGCGAGATATGGCCTTGTTCTTAAATTGTTTTCTCAGACCATATTAGCATCTGTTGGCCATCACAATCCTTCTCCGAATTTCAAAACTGATGCCAATAGTTTTATTTATGGCTGTGCCAAGGTATATAAAATCGTTCACTACCTCGAAGCTGTAGTTTTCAAGTTCCACGTTCAAGTTCAAGGAGACTTATTCCTCTATAGTTGGCATATATCGTATTGTTTCCTTTTTTGTGTGCGGGACACAGGATGCTGCTGATGCAATCATTGGGCATGCATTCATCTAGCCAAATTTTACTAATCAGCTGGTGCATGCTCCTCACCAGCATCTGACCACCAGTCTTGAATAGTTCGGCTGGTAAGACATCGACTCCTGCTGCTTTATTGTTCTTGGATATATAATCTATATCATCATCTCTTATTGGCTATCTTCTATACCGCCACTATTTGATACCAGAAACTTTGAAAAATGCTCCTTCCAAATCTTCAACACGCTGTCTGTATCTGTCACCAGGTTTCCATCTTCATCTCTACAGGACGATGTGCCTGCAACAAAGCCTAAGGTTTGGTGTTTTACTCGTTTGTAAAATTTCCAAACTACGTTCTGACTCATGTAAATCTCGGTTTGCTCACGTTTTTCTTGGTCTCTCTTCTTTCTTTTGAAAATACATTTTTCCTGTCTCTTTTCTCCCGACAATTCTCTCTTGCATTGCGTTTTGCTACTGTCTGCAGGTTTCGTTTTTCGCTTCAGTAGCATTACGACACTCCTGATCCTACCATGGATTTCTTGATGGTGGACTTTGGTACCCTATTGTTGCTTTTGCTGCAGTTTGTAGGTCGGGGCAATTCTTTGCCATTGTGCTTCTATATTATTATCGGGACAAGGAGTGTTTTCGCCAAGCAGATGGGTAAGTTGAGCGGAGTAGGTTTCTGCTCTCTATTGTGTTTGCAGGTTTTCGACGACGAGTTTCCGTGTTACATTAGATCGCACCTTTACTGCTACATAAAGACGGGTGCGTACCTTGGCTGCCACAAGGTAATGGTCCAAATTGATATTCACTCCCCGGATCGATCGAACGTCTAAAACAATGGATGAATGCCTTCCGTGTATCACAACATGATCGATTTGATTTCTCGTTGTTCGATCAGGAGAAATCCAGGTGCCCTTGTGTATATCGAATCTGAATTGAATCTGATACTGCTATTAACATGTTTTTTGCTGCCGCGAAGTCAATCAACCTCATGCCGTTGTCGGATGTTTTTTCACGGATTATAGAAAATCGCTCATCTACTGGAGTAAATCTGGAGACGAGCCAAATTCATGACTCGTTTCATGGCAGGGCGTAATCTTAGGATTTACTTACGCCACTCCCTTTCCTTCGCATTTCCTGTATGAAAATAATTTCGACTTTTTACTTCTTGAGTACATCCTCCAATGCAAAAACTGCCCCTGTTCTGTACAACGTGCGCACATTCCAAGTGCAGATTCTCAGATCGTGGTCCCTTAAACGTTTGTGGGAGTCGTCAACATTGAGCAGGTTTGGTCGTTGCTTTTTCATAGTAGGAGGGGTTTTTCGAGCGTGGCCAACTAACCCCTCAACCCATTTTTTGTAGTTCTTATGTGTGAACTCGCGGCACATATTCGCTCACTATTTCAACGGTTGATGAAAATAGCTATCCCAGGTGACACCGCGGGGAGCTCAGTGTCCACAATTGAGATGGAAGAGGAACCAAGATAAGCCTGGGCTTCGACATGTTAAAGCCAATCGGAGCCGATGCTTAGTATCTATCATCCTAACTACCCTTCCATACCCGTTTTCGTGAAACAGGCTATTAATTATTTCAATAGGGACCTCCCTTGCTAAAATAAGTAAATTAATAACCAAATTCGAAATTACAATTTAATTACTAAATACTTGTTATATATTTCATATTAATATTACACACATACACGCACACATACAAAGATAAATTAAAACTTAGACAATTCTAAATAAATAAATACTTCACAAATAAATACAATGGCATTCAGCATCCATTCATTGCTCGCAGACACCATCATCGTCGTCAGCATCCCGACAAACAATGACGGCGCACTCTAAACACCATAGCCATTGTGCCGTCCAATCATTAGAACTGTCAAAGTCGTCATCATCAGGACGATCAACCAATTATAAATGCCGACTTGTTGTCCAGCATCGTCAGTTGCTGATGCCTCTGCTGCTCCGGCTTCTGCCTGATTGAATAGGACACGAGTGCGTCTCTCCGCTGTCAATGGCAGTTGTATTCGCACATCCACAATATCATCGTCATCATCACCATCACTGGCTGTGACTACTTGGCCACTTTTCAAATAGGATTTAAAGTCAACAGGTTTGTCATTTGGCTCATAGCCATAGATATGCATTTCGACGAACAGGCTGGTTGTGTGTTGATCTGTGACAATTGCCTTGAGGGTGTGCTGTGACAGTTTTTCATATTCGACAATGGGATGGGAATTGGTGGCGAGCGGGTGATTTAAATAGTGCTAAAGAAAGGCATAAAGAGGAATTAGTTAATGGCTGAAATTTGCTAACGGAAACCTTATTCAGCCAGGCTGAATTGAAGTTTTCCTAAAGAAAATCTTATTCAGCCAGGCTGAATTGAAGTTTTCCTAAAGAAAATCTTATTCAGCCAGGCTAAATTGAAGATTTCATATAGAAAATCTTATTCAGCCAGGCTGAATTGAAGATTTCCTATAGAAAACCTTATTCAGCCAGGCTGAATTGAAGTTATCCTATAGGAAACCTTATTCAGCCAGGCTAAATTGAAGATTTCCTAA